AAATACACACTCACACTAATTATATTATTTTAATATTTCTAGGCCATTTTTATTAAAAATTTATTTTACACAAAACCTGAAGATATTTAACGTTCTAAAATTTATGCTAGCACAACACAAACTATAAAAGGGTTAATAGCAAATTTAAAAATATTTATCCATATACTTTGTGATTTGTGATAAATGGTGTGATACAATGTGCGGGAATGCAAATTGAAAATTAAAAATATGATTCAAGCTGATTTATTAATTTTCTGAAAATTAACTGAAATTGAAATGTTTCATGAATATCGTGTGTATTTACTCTTTTTAACTAATTAGTAAAGAGTTATATGCGTTCTGAATTTAGAATAGATGATAGCAATATAATTTGCAATTTAATTATCTTTAAAATGTTTTATTAATATCTATTTTTAAAATATGACATCTTATAGAAGACAAAAATAGACAAAATCTCCTATCGAAACAAATAATATTATCTCCATTTTAATATGGGTATTAGCTAAAATAAAAGACCGGTTTAATAAATTCCTCAGGAGTCGTTCTTTTTACAAAAACTTGTAATATGAATATTTTATTAGTTACTACGTATACTTTAAAAACAAGTAGTAAAACCAAAATACAGTTTCATTTTGAATAAATATTATTTGAATAAGCTAGACTAAATCTAACAAAATAAATAAAATTCTAGCAGGTTTGTATGAACATAATTATTAACTTCCCGTTAGGTGAGTTGTAGTAATCGCAAAAAATCGGTAATATTTTTTTATATTTTTACGCTTCAACGTCTTCTGAACACTTTTGCATACATTATATTGGATGCTTGTGTGAGTGTAGTATGCATGAAAATTTCGAAATTTTCAAAAAAAAAATGGATTTTTTCAAAAATTTCTATCTTGATGTTCGTTGTTCTATAAATATAAAAATAATCATTTGATTTATTCATTAAAAAATAATTTATAATAATACTAAATACGTGTTATTGATTAAACTCGACAAAAAAAACATTACTCGCTTACCCAGTCATAAAGGTTCCAAGCACTAATATATGCGACGACGACGACCCGATGCGTTAGCACTCGGGTCGACGCGCCCATGTTATTCCTTCAAGAAGCAGCAACAAAATGGCCAAGTTAGTTCGAAAATTGTTATGAAATCAACAGATGCCATAGATACGTAATGCTGCATTGTTTAGATACGAATTTGTAAACAAATCATTTGAAGTTGTATCAAAATATCGATATAGTAGATACAATTGCCCTCTGTTGATGTATTAGTTTTTATGTTCTATCTATAATATTTTAAAGACTCACTTTGGGAACTGAGCTGATGGTATGTTGTAAGCGAATAACAAAGGCACGCAAATTATCGGGAAATGTTTTCATAAATAAATATCTATAATATTTCAAGATCTAATGAAGAAATATAAAAGGATCGCTAAATGAAATAAATGCTATTTGGTAATAATTTTATGAAAAAATCAAAGTTTTATTTTAACTTGAATTCATTTATTTAGATCGTGAATCAACTCATGTGGTGATAAATGATTTTTTTTTAAATTTCGAGCAGTATTCGATATCACATACATAGATATATTTATTATTCTTGTATTTTAGTACAGAGCCCTAAAAATTATGCATATTGTAATGTTTTGTATAAAATCTGTTTATTCATATACTCATATTAGTCAAAAGCAAAAAATTTATATTTTAAATTTTAATAATAAATTTAAATTGAAATTATTTAAATTAAATTTAAGTACGCAAAGGTATAAAGATTTTTATAAAGATTTTAATAGGATGCTTTTTTTATTATATTACAAATCATATAAAAAGACAAATGAAAAATGAGTTATTTATTCAAATAAATAAAGTAATTATCAATACTCTTTGTTAAATTGTTAAATCATTAAATTTTCTTCTAAGTTTTCAGTGCAATAAAAATGTGACACAATAGTGCAAAGGTTAAAAGTTTTACCTTATAATTAGATAGTAAGTAATATGTTGCAGCTTATGTAACAAAAACTTTATTTTGACTTCCATATTTTCTCATAACATTCTAATCACATAATTCTCAATTTTAAACCATTTATATAGTCTATAGAATTGCTTAATGTGAAAAATCTTAGAAATCTCTACAGAATATTCTGACATCTAAATAATTACTATTGTATATGCGATTAACGCCGAATAATTAATATTCTATATGTATGGCGAACGAGTTTAATTTGATTAAACGAACTTGTATTCAAATGTTAGAACTTTAGAATGTCAAATCTTTGAATTGCAAATTATTTACATAGATAATATACTGTGATCAGAATAAATATGAATATTCATTTGAGTGTTAAAATTATATTACTATACAGCCTTTGATATTAATTACTAATTGATCTATAAATTTTTAGCAATAAATAAAAAAGTTCAATTAGATTCTTTTACTATGAAATAGAATAAAATTAAACTCAAGTTTTTCTAGAATCATGTTAAAAATAATACAAGAAAGAATTATACATTTAAAAAGAAATAGATATCTGTAATACAGTATCAAAAGAACAGAATAAAAATTACTCAACCATAGATAAAATATCCAATGAATAATTGCTATAATTCATAATATAAATTGCAATTATTTTGTATTTCAGAACATTTTTTAAAGCCGAACTATTTCATCAACTATAGGGTTAATGTTAAGAAAGAAAGAAATATTTTTCTTATTTACATCTCTTTCAAACTTAATTAAATAGTAAGAAAAATGCATGTAAGAAAGAAATGTGATATGCATTTGTAAAGAGAGAAAGAAAGATTATACATATTTAGTTCTTAAATAGTTTTTATACTAATTCTAATTACTAACATTGTTAACCTTTTCCACTCAGATGCCGGCGGCAAAATTCATGTAAATCTCGGAATACGCGAGTGTAAAAGGTTAAAATTATGACTTTATGTAGTGTTTACAAAGGAACAAGTTGCTCAATACTAGTTAATCAATCAGTAGTAAAAATATTTTGCTTTCGATATTTTAAACAATCGAGTTTTTCATGATTAAAATGCTGTAATGATATATATTACACTCATTATGTTGTGAATTATTTAGATTTAGCAAACTGATAAATTATAAATATATATTTGCTAATTGTTTGTTGGTAAAAGCATGTGTGTATATAAGCCAAATTTCAACATTTTGCTTGATCAGTTTCTTTATAATTAGCAGAAAAGTGCACGAACAATTTTTTCGTCCACGACTTCGCCAAAAATCCTGTACCAATTTTGCAAATTCGAAAACTGATTGAAAGATATCAGTTGGGAATAGTATAGTAGTAATGTTTTCTAGTAAAAATGACCGGACGGTTTTTTCTGGATTAACAGTTTTAAAAAAATCGGGTCAAAATATCAAAATTGTATCGTCTCAATTTAAAAAGTTGCTAAATCTCAATTCTTATTGATTAGGTCGATTATTTACACATATCCGGAAGTTCGTGCTACTTGTCTTAAGGCACTCCACTTGCAACTAATTAACTTCCCGTAGGGCAAGTTATAGTAATCGCAAAAAAATCGAAAATGAAAATTTTTATATATCTTTACGTTTCAGAGGTTTCTGAACATTTTGGCATACCTTAGAAAAAATGGATGTATGTGTGTGTGTGTGTGTGTGTGTGTGTATGTGTGTGTGTGTGTGTGTATGTATGTATGTATGTGTGTGTATGTATGTGCGGATACAAATTTTCGTCGACGATTTCGGGAACACGGATCAACCGATTTGAATAATTCAAAAAACATTCGATCCATATTGATAAGGAGACGTGCTGATTAGTTTTTGGCAAAGGCAGGTCAAGCCGTTCCAAAGATACGGGGCAAAAAGTTCCGAAAACGGTAACTCAGTTTTTAAGAGAACGGAGCGTCCGATTTTAATAATTCAGAAAACATTTTATTTGTATTGACAAGATGAAGAATCGATATAACTTTCATGAAGGTAGGTCCAGCGGTTTCGGAGATATAGAGGAAAAAGTAAAAAAATGAGCCATTTGGCGGTCAAAAATGATCATTAGACATATGCACATCAAATTATCAGACATTTTATAGAGATTTTAACAATAAGTATACATTTTGTTAACATTCCTATCGGTTCCGTACCAATGCTTATGCGTTAGACAGCGACGCGGCGCTTACGCGCTTTATATTTTGTCCCTATGTAGTTAAAGCAGTACGATTGCTTTGAAAAAAAAGTTCAGATCTTCCACAATATGTCAAAATAAAGAAAAAAAAAATTTTTTCAAAAAAAAAAAAAAAAATTTAAAAAAAAAATTTTTTAATTTTTTTTTTTTTTTTCAAAAAAAACTAATTTTTTGTCCAATTTATAGTTTCTCAAAAATCTTATTTTTTCAAAGTAATTTTTTTTCAAAAATGTTAATCGTTTTAAAAAAAAAATAATAATTTTTGGTACGGGAAGTTCCAGCAATTTGCCTTAAGGCACGATGCCCTAATTGCCTTAAGACAGAATTCCACTTACAGCTAGTTTATTAATTTATTTATATCTCTATGTTGTATGTCGTATGTTGTATGTGTGTGCGTTAATAATATATTAATAAAACAGCCAGTGGTGTATAAATGCGACACGATACATTTTTAAGTCGATCTGGTTGAGTATTTCTAATTGGTTCCGAATTATTATATTCTAAATTTATCAGAGCTCAATAAAACAGGTTCTACGAGTGATAATCATCTAAATAGCAAATTATAATAAATTATAAAAAAAACGTATATACAAAATAAACCTGACAACGTAAAATATATTTAAATATTAATTTATTATGTAAAATCATTTGCAAATAATAATGCATACGTATTCGCTATATAATTTGTTTCCGCTCAAGGTCGGCAAATGTCGATTTTATAATACAACTTTGCACTATGTGGAAAAGCGTCAAGTGAAACTTTTATTAATGCATTGTGTGTATTTTCTAGAATAATAAAAATGTTGCTTTGAAAATAAAAATAGACATGTCGATGAATGCAAATCGAGAAATAGACGCAGAAAAAGTCCGAAAAGACTTTGAATTTGAAAGTCTCGCGCCATCGCGGATGGAAGATGGAAGTGATAATGCATTCAGCGAGCGTATAAGATTTCCGATGAGAAGGAGACAGGCGATGATTAATTCTTAACGACTAAATTATAATGTTAAACTAGGTGCATGGCATTGAGCCTTACACAAATTTATGGAACTTCCCGATATATAAACAAATATTAAATGAACAACATTAATAAAAAATGAATAACATTAATAAATATGTAACACTGCAATCGTAATAGTACGCAAATTCAAATCCGAATGCAAACAGAATTTACAAATCAAATAATAAATGGAAAATTTTGATATTTTACGAGATTCGAACATTTTTAAATTCCTTAAACATTTTAGCATAATAACAATTTCGATAAATATAATTTCATTTTCATTTCATAGAATTTTTGATATTTTAAAATTTTGACAATATTCGTATGAAAAATAAAGTAACTAATTATTCAATGTTTATTTAGCCAAGCTCGGCATCAGACAGTATAAAGTAAAATTTCTACATGAATTTATGGATCTCAAATATTATATCAAGTAAAAATCGCCTTTCGCTGGCATAGCTCCATATAAAATTATAAGAAAATAATAAAAATACTTTAATTATTAAGAATAAATTATTAGTTACAACTAGATAAGACAACTACTAGGTTGTCTACTAAAACTCAGTCATACACTATACATATCAATAAAAATTACCAAATGTCCTCATAATATGGATAGGGAGCGTTGGACAGAAGAGGGCCACGTTTTTATTTTTGGTTGTAAAATGTTTAAAAATGAAAATATTTCTTAATTTTTTTTAGTTGCAAGGGTATTTCAAAATGCAACTTTTTATCATAGCAGATGCTTGCAATTATGTTTGGAAGTATTTCTGTTTTTGAATGCAAAAAAGTGTATTTACCGAAAATGTATCGAGAAGTGGACCACCTAAATTTTAATCTAAAAAAATGCTGCCATATGCTACAAATTCTTACCCTGAGGGTTTTCAAATGCTCTGATTACGAATTCGTTGTTAAATTTATAAGATTCATAATCGTTGACACTTCAGTAATAATGTTATTTTAATGGCTGAAAAAAGAAGTAAAAAGGTAGAAATGATAAAATTGATGAAAAACAACATTCAAGGACAGATTTTAGGCGCAATTGGTGCTCATCAAGTCGGTGCAGTTGGTCATATCGACGCACTTCAAATGGAAGTGCCTGTCGCAGTTATCGCACTCGATGGAGATTTGTCTTGTCAGTTTTACCGACATCAATTTATTGCAAACCATGCAAAAATCGATGTCTCATTTGGAGAAACCGAAAACTTTCTTTTTTGCCTTTTTTCACAGCTGATTGTGAAATATTGGCCTTCTTGGAAACTTTCGCTGGTAATTGCGATTTTTACGCTGTGCTGCTTCTGCTGCTTCCGCCGCGACCTCTGTTTTTAGGGGATGTAATGATGCATTGAAAATAATCTGCTAACGTTGGTAACAGCAGAAGCAACGCAATCCGATATTTTATTTATTTTTACTTCCTTCATAGCAACTATCAATTTTTCATAATTCACCACTTTTTTGGAGTTCCCTGTTTTTTTAGGGGTCATGATGACTAAAGCGATAAAAATAAGCAAATAAAACATTTAAATGATTAAATAAAAACACTCTACTGTGCAAAGAATGGCATTACTCAAGTGGCCTATATCTGTCCACAAATAATGGCCCGCTCCATCTACAAACGCCAAACGATAAGCATCCCACAAAAACACAATGTAAACAATCGGCAAAAATCATTTTGCATTTCAAAAATTATATGTCTATATAATACATTGCATATTTACTTGAATTTTTCTCGTGAAAATTAGATAGCAAATCAACTAAGAGCGCGTACGAGGGTAAAAACTTTTTCGTCGAAATTCTTAGCGTGTTTCTCGTGTACAGTGCGAATGTAGGTTTATAACCTACAAATGCTTTTTAAATTTAACAAGTATCAAAATATGATAAATATGTGCGCGGTTCGACGTACATGTCACTACTCTTAGAGTTATTTGTTTGGTCCACTCCAACCTGTGGCTCATTTCTGTTCACCGCGCCCTAAAACGTAATTTAAAAAAACTGAAAAATGATACAGTAGTACGTAATGTAGATGTAGGTGCTCAATTCGTTCGATAATATGCGAAACGCAATTTTCCATAGTAATATGTTAATAAAAGCAATTTGTATAAAATTTAGCCGCCTGAAATAAAATATATTATATATGTAATTAAGACATATAAAGTGAAAATATTACTTATTTACGAAATGAGGTAATTATGAAATCATTCATATTCAAAAAATTGGTACTATTTTTTTCTTTTTCCTTTTAGCTCCTGAATACTTAAAGAAACTGTCAATTGTTGTTTATTGAAGAGAAAACTTTGATAAATTTTAATCTTCAAGATTGTTTATGAATTTTTGCACCTCATTCCTAAAAGTCTCATATGACGGCACTAAAAACCGCCTGTTTAGTCTTTTCTTCCGCGTTTTTTGATATTTCGTTTCCAAAATTTACTCAAGGCTTTTGGGGTGTGAACAGGGGCGTAACTAGCGCCGTATCAGCCGTATCAAAAATACGGGCCCCCCGATCCAAGTGGGCCCCAAACGAGCGTAAGCAGAAATTGATAACAACTTTAAAGCAAAACAATGATTTTTCAAAAAATTGAACGCTTTAAGAGAATTTATTTCTGCTGCAAAATATTCAAAAAAGATTTTAAAACTTTGTATGTACTTTTCGAATACGATACCCATAATATTTTTCAAATTAATTATACCTTTGTTTTCCAACTTAGCTGATGATAAGACCCAAGCTCTAGAGTAATTATTATCGGCGATGGCTTTATTATTGATTACTGCTGCAATTAATTCAATTAGTAAAATTTTTGCACATCCAATAAGTTAATATTCTTGTAGATTGTAGATATATGAACAAATTTGTAAAACTACCAGTTCATACATTCTTCAACAAAAATTTGACTTTGGAATTTTTATAATTCTATTTATAACATTTCTAAATTTGTCTGCATGCCGTGTAAGTTTAATAGTTAGATTTAGATAAATATAATCAACTAAATCATTTTCATCCTAAAATTCTGAATAACTGACCTGTCTGTAATGATTGTTAGATCTTAAAACAATTTCGATGAATTTTCATTCTAATTATTAGCTGTGTTATATTACAGTTAATTTTTTAAAGTTATGATCTGAAATTTAGTCGTCTTTTTCTAAGTTTTTTAAGTTGTGCCATTTTAATTGCTTTTAGAACTTAATATGACTTATTTCATATGAAATATTTTTGATAAACAAGTGCAAACCGTTACAAAGTTTTATGTACAATGGGAGCTAAGTAATGCAAGCGAAGTAATGCGAAAAATTTAAATTAAAATTTACTAATTAATTAACAATTACAATTTAGTATCATTAAAATTGGAGTCTTGTCTAAACACGCATAGAAAAAAGACGTTTTTGTAAAGTAATAATAAATAAAATTGAACATAAAAATATAACAAAAATTTTATTAAATAAACGTCTCCGGATAAACTGTCGACTGTAAAGATATCTTATGTGATCATGATCAATTGATGGTTCTAGAGACAGTTTTAAATACAAAAAACTAGAGAATTATATTAAGGCACAATAATGGATGAAATAGGCTTGCATCCAGGGTTCACGGCGTAATAACAGTATGCATTTTATTTTTGGCCCTTCCCGTTACAATCGCAACTGCCAAAAAAAATTTTTTTTCAGAATTAAAGCTAATTAAAAATTACGTATAAACTTTAGGAGGTAAATGTCTATCAGACCAGACTATTGTTTCTAAAGTCAAACTTTAAAAAATCTAAAGATCACTTAATAATTAAATTTTTCGAAAAAATGCAAGGAGATAGAGATATATCTGAAATGTCGGGAATCATTTGTGAAAAATTCAGAAAATTAAAGAAAATTGGATTGATAAATAATAAGAATGATGAATAAATAGTCTTTTAATTTTATGTATTTTTTATATTTTTTTTCTTCTTGAGGGGGCCCGCAAACATATTTTGATACGGGGCCCCGCCAAGGCACGCTACGCCCCTGGGTGTGAAGAAAGAATTATACAATAATAAGAGCTTTAAGTGCGAGCTTGTTTTCCAATAAATATGTATTTGATCCGGAAGCAACATTTCCAAAGTCCACATTTGTACTATAACTTTGGCCATCGAGGCCTACTGATTGCCTCCAAATGTGAAATGCGTTTGTGAAGTATTGTTTGTTGTGTGAAACGCTCGAGTTCGAAAAAAGTTGGTTGTGCTCAACGTTTATTGTGCAAAGTGCACATTGTCCGAGGCATCACTGTATATATATATATTATATATATATATATATATATATATATGCCGTTTTCAAAAACGTTTAAATTTAAACTTATTTTTTTCTATTTTCACATAGTGTCAAGTCATGATTTTTTCGGTATAGAACCAAAAATTAGTTAACAGGCTAATTAAAACTTCAAAAGTTAAAATCGATCGGAGAAGTATAGTCGTTCTCTATTGGCAAGAAACCCAAATTCCTTTAATAAATTCTGAAACTTGATTTATGTGGTCAAAACGTTTTTTGTGCATTTATCGTCGATATATCTGAAGCGGCTGAACCAGTCTTTCCTAAAAATCTAATGAACTCTTCACATAATTAGTAAGAACCGACGAAAAATTAAGAAATATAAACATTCAAATCCATTCCAATTCTGTTTGTAAAAACGTGTCTGAAAAATTAATATTAGAATATAATACTTTTCTTAATAAACCTCTTTCAATCTTAATTAATTAATAAGCTAAACAAATGTATGAAAGAATCATATATATGTGTAATAAATATATGTATGTGTGTATGTCTCAATGCCGAACAAAAAATCTAAATCATATATATATATATATATATATATATATATATATATGTATATATATATATATTAGGGTGGTCCTTAAAATGGTCATTTTCGAATTTCCTTGCTCCCAGGGGCTCAAATGGTTCCAAATTGATAAAAAACAATTCTCTGAAAGTTTTAGCTCTTAATATTAACGTTTAGATAGAGCGCAATTTCATCAAAGTTTGTATGGAAAGAGCATGAAAAAAGTTTTGAAAATTAAAAAAAAATGTTTTAGGTATAACTTAGCGACAAATGAATGAGTTTTATTTATTCATTTGTTTACTAAATTACATCTAAAAAACATTTTTAAAATTTTTGAAAAATTTTCCATGCCATTTCCATACAAAACTTTGATTGAATTGCGCTCTATCTAAACGTTAATTTTAAGAGCTAAAACTTTCAGAGAATTGTTTTTTATCAATTTGGAACCATTTGAGCCCCTGGGAGCAAGGAAATTCGAAAATGATCATTTTAAGGACCACCCTAATATATATATATATATATATATATATATATATGCATGCATACATAGTATAAAATTTGCAAAACATCCGGACATGTGAAGATATTTAAATACAAATTGAAAAAAATAAAACCATATTTAAATAAAATACATTTTACTTTCGAAAGTAAACGAAGTAAAAAAAAGGTTAATAAATTTTTGAAGCAAATGCGCGTCAAAGAACTGAATGAATAAAAAATGGTCTATGTTTTTGTTTTGGCATCATCTCACCTGGTGAAAGTGACAATACTATATAAAAAATAACATTCACTATCAATTTAAATATAATTCACGACTTTTGACGTTTTCTCATCGCATATTTAGTTTAAAATGTTAGTTATTGGTACCCAATAACTTACAGAATAATAAATAGATGCATTTAAAACGTTAATAAATTTATTTTCAGGAGTCTTGCCAGAAGCCCTTAAAAGCAAGTGTCAGAGATGTTCTCTGAAACAAAAAGAGAGCGCACTTAAGGTAATTCGACGTCTGCACGACGCTTATCCAGACAAATGGCTAGAATTAGCCGAACGATATGACCCCACAGGAGATTATAGGAAAAGGTTTGATACCATTTTTCGATAATGCATTTAATCTATTACAAGATATGTGTAATTTATAAAATATTATTATTAAGATATATAACACATTTTAGGCAGATGCTATTTTTATGAAAAGTATTGTAACAGTTAAAATGTAAATGTAACTAGTTGGTATTGGTATTTTGCCTTGAGACAAGTTACATGCACTTCCCGATATGTGTAAATAATTGACTTAATCAATAAAAAATAAATTAATTTATGAGTGATTAAAGTATGAAAACGAACGTACACGTTAGCTCGGTATATTTTCAAAAAAGCAAATTTTCAAAAATCAAAAAAAATTATAATTAAACCAGTTTTTGTAGGACTTTAATGATTTAATATGTTCATAAAGACCAAGTACTTTATCGTTATACCAAGTAAATCGTCTAATTTTAATTTTAACAAACATCAAAAAAACTACTCATTTTCTCAAACTTCGATGAATTTTAAAAATTAAACTACATGTCGTAAGGCCGTAATATTTTAGTAAGTTCTATAAGACCATGATGTATATCGCCAAAAAAAAGTTCCATAAAAATCGGCTTAATTTTTTTTTTCAACAGTTAATTACAAGAAAACGGCTCGGTAGATTTTCACCTAAAACTAATCAGCACGATTCCCAACCAATATCTTTCTAACAGTTTTTGAATTTTCATAATAGATTCAGAATTGCGGGCTAAAACGTGGACGAAAAATTTTTCACTTTCTGCGATTTATAAAGAAACAGCTCGGCTGATCGTAGCGCAAAACTGACAAACGATAGTTCTCATCGAGATACATCGAATGGCTCTTAAATTTTTTAAAACGATCCAGCCATTTTTGAGAAAATGTCGATTTACGGCAAAAAATCTGTTCACATACACATACACATACATACTTTTTCCAAATTTGGTCTCATTCGATTCAGAATGGCTTGAAACGTCGAGAAAACATAAAATTAGCGAATCGAATTTTTTGATGAAAACAAACTTCTCCTTCGGGAAGTTAAAAATATTTGCATAAGTTAGTCTTCAAAAGAAAGTATTAAATAGAATAACCTCCCAAAAACATAGCGTTAATCATCAAAACCCATATTAAGTATCGGTACACGGCCGTCGAAGAAGGAAACTACAAAAAAGTCCGATAGCCTCTCTGACGATCCGTAAAAAAATATCAAGTCACGTTTGAGTAAAGGGATTGTGAAGACACTACGAAAACAATCCTGGTATATGCGATGCGAGATGGAGATGGATACCACAATGAAGAGAAATAAACATTGGTTTATTCCTCTTCTTTGTGGTACACGACAATTTTATTTTTTATTACATGCAAAAGCACATAAAATAAAGAAAATGACTTGCCAAAATGTAAAATATGAAACAAATGATGGAAGATATGCATATCTACGTTGAGTCCGCCAACAGCCAAAGATTTGTTAATTTCATTGCGAAACAAATTCGTTTGAACTCAAAAGTCATATCCCTCGCGGCCGTTAAAATTCTAGGAATTAGAATTGTCTCATACACATGGCTGTAGCAGATTGTTCTTTTACAAATTAATTTCATATTAGTTTAATTTGGCGAATGCACAATACATTTTGTTGTTCTCGTCGTTTGCATAGATATAAAGGATATCTGGATCTTATACGTTTATTTATCTATGATCTGGATATTAACATCTGCACTTGGAATGTATAGTTTTTTATGTAAAAACAGATCTCGTTCACTTTAAACTTTATTAATTTTGGTTCCGAACGCCAATAAAATTAAAAATTGCAGTTTTCAAATTGTAATAGGGTACTGTATTATGGGAATTCGAACGAGGATATCTTGTACATCAAAGAGATTTTTTTAAATCGTATTGCTCCATTACGTTGTTTGTAATATTAGAATCATGTTATCAGTTAAAACATTTATAGAGTTTTAGTAACAATGCAATTGTTAGTGTAAAAATTAGTGGCATTTATGAATCGTGTACACAACGATATAGTTGGAAAGCGTAGCCTTGATTCATTATTTTGCAAACTATTTTTCATACAGTAATAGTATTTTCGATATACCAATGATATCAAATACCAAAAACAGAAGTTTAATGGTATTTTCAAGAAAGAAAAATTCAAAATATCATAAATACCTTAATCTAAAAATGATTTAAGTTTACAAAGATAAAAATGTAAAATTAATATTTATTTTCTATTCATTATACTTGCTCTTATACAATATTAATCCTATTTTAGCTACGAAGAATATTTGCGGAATGAGCAATATAACATTATAGATGGAGCTGAGCCAGCTATCAACAGTGTGCAAGGCAATGTTCTTCCTGAGATTGGAACTAGATTCAATTTTGAAGAAACTAAACCAATAGAAAAACCAGATATACAAGAATTTAATAAACCATCGAATAATGTAAACAACGAGCACAAATCAGCGCCACCCGTCCGTTCGGTATCAAACGGTGCCAGTGGCCCTAATGCAAATACACTTCCGCCGGCAACTGAAAAGGCACCACCAGCACCACCAGCACCACCAGCACCATCCACTACATATACACCGTAAGATTTTTAATAATTAGGAATACTTTCACCATTTAGAATTATTTCACAAAATTAAGTTAAATATTTTGTTCACTAATGGTTATATCCATGATTTAGAATAGTTATATCATATTTAGAAATATGATACACTAGTATTTGAGGGTTGTTCGTCTTTTTAGATAATAAATTTTCCAGATTATTTACATTTCTGTCACAATTTGCTTACTATAAAAATATTAGAAACTGCTTTTTCATAACGTAAAAACATTTTTCACAAAGAAATTAAATTACATCCATACTACTGTTACTATTGCACTGTAACTTCCGTACTACTGTTGTTTCTATAAATCATTTGACAATCAATTTAATAAATTTTCAGGATCATAGTGCAAAGTAATCCATCCACAACCAGATCAACAATTTTTACGATTCAAGGAAATTTTCAGGCCAGACCCCTTAGTTCTCAAGTTTTGGGAATTGTATCCAATTTGGGTAATAAAGTGGCCCGAACTGCAGGAATAATAACTGGAATGCTCAAAGACACAGTTCACGTTATTGTGGGCTGACAAACATCGGACAACAAAAGAATAAAATTATTTATACATAAGCTTAAATATAAACCACCTTATTTTTAAGATAAAATGAAAAGCGGATGGTTTGGCACAATCATGTAATTTGATATTTAATATAGTTTAGTACTATTGGCAAAATAATCTTAAAATGAAATCAAAATGATTAAATTTTAATATGTGCCGTTACTAAATTTAACATTGTGAGTGTAATTATTTCGCACTACAATTGAAAAAAATCTAAAGAAAATTGAATTTTATATTTTTTACATAATGTTTATATATGATTTAAATTATAGTTGCTAAGCAACATTTACTATTAAATTATGATTTTCTGTATGATCATAAAAGCCTCTACATAACTTTTAAATAAACAACAAGTTTCTCGTTTTAGCCATCGATATCGTGGGAGTATTGGCTTTGCTTCGGGTCAGAATTTTAATAATACTATTGTAAGTACGATTAAAAGTTACGATAAGGTTATAATTATGGCACTATAATGGATAGTTTATAATTATTTCTTATTATTATTAGTTTTTTATATAGAAATTGAACATCACTCAGTTGTATAGGCACATGCATTATTAAATAGTGATTGAAGGTATTTTACGTGTGGAAAATTCTACCAATATAGCAATATTCCATATATAAAATATTATTAAACCTACAATCTTCAGAATTGGTATATATATATATATATATATATATATATATATATATATATATAATGTATATATTAATAAAACAAAATCTGAATGTGTCAAAACATTGTTTCATTTACAACAAATTCTATCCAGAGCGAGTTCTGAGGTAATAGTATGTGTAAATTATTAGAATAAATACAACGGTATATTGACAATGGAAAAACAATTTACGTTGACCTCAGTAGAAAGGACATTAGCACGTCTTTGTGCTAATACTTGCAATATTTGTAGTAAATTTGAACTTTATTTAATTGACTACTACTGTAATGCCGTCTCTCAAGGTATTTTAAAAATATTTATTTCATAATTAATAATTTTTCACGATGGTTGCTCTTCCAATATAAAAATATATTTAATTTCAAGAATATATAATACCATGCAGTAGTAATATCCGCATACTTATTTTTTCGCCCACTTTTTCTCAAAAAACGGCTGCATCAGTTTAAAAAGTTTTAAAAAAACATCTGAGTAGCAATAGCGAAACGCATTGGTTTGGTTTTGATGATAATCTGTCGAATCATTGTGAAAAATAGTTAAATAGAAAAAATGGTCGTTTTCGCAAGAAGTCAGAGCTAATTTTAAAATTCAAGAACTGCTTAAAGTATATCGCGCTGAGTAGCTGAGTAGTATAAATATATATATATATATATATATATATATATATACAGAGCCGCTCCTACCTTAAATGCGATGCACGCGAAAAATGCGGGCGCACGCCTTAGGGGGCGCCAACACAACATTCGGATATGAAATTTATAATATAGGTTTTTCAATATCATTCAGGAAATATATAACTTCTTTGCATCTGTTACTAATTTATGGACAATACTTTTAAAATACGTTAAAAATTTAACTTTAAAACAAACAACGATTACATGTAATTGGCCCTTACGATATCAATTAGGAAAATTTTATTAGCTTGCAATTTTGAAAATTTTAATAAAATCGTGCATGGCATTGTGCCTTAAGGCGAATTGCTGGTACTTCACGTACCGTAACGAAATGTTCGAGGAATACTGAATGTTTTGAAATAGATTATTATTATTATTGTAACCTTATCTATGATTTGTATGTTTCCTTATCTATGATTGTAACATTGTCTAATATTTATAAGAATTATATGAACTGAATTGCAAAGTTGAAATTATTTGTTCAAAGTATTTAATTAATTTATAAATATTTAATTTAAAAATTTAATTAATTTATAAATATATTAGAACTTTAGTCAGAATTAAAAATAAAATCTGAATTATTTTCGATATACAAAAAAAAATTATGAAAAAAAAATTGAAAAAAAAGTTGAAACAAAAATTTTTTTTCCAAAATCAATTATTTTGTTAGACAAGCAGGAAGTTTTTTGAATCATTTAAATCGGACGCTTAGTTCTCGAAAAACTGCCATTTTTTGCACATTTAGAATCGTATCCGTATCTTCGAAATGGCTGGGCCTGCCTTTGCCAAAATCTGATAAACACTTCTCCCAATCATTACTAATTGAATGTTTTTTAGATCATTCAAATCGGATACTCCGTTCTCTCAAAAACTCGATTTCTATTTTCTGCACTCTTTGCTCCGTATCTCCGAAACGGCTGGACCTGCCTGTGCCAAAAACTAATCAGCTCTTCTCCCTATCAATATGAATCGAATGTTTTTTGAACCATTTAAATCGGTTGATCCGTGCACCCGAAAACTTGACTGGAAATTTGTATCCATACATACATACATACATACACACACACACACACACACACACATGGAAGAGACATTGAGCCGCAGAATTACCCCAGGTAATGCTGTTGAAGTGATTCTGACAAGTGAAGCTGCTTGGAACGCCATAGACAGATTTGCGAGAGAGGTACTAATTGACCTGCGCTCCACGGAAAGAGAAAGGACGAATGGGACTTCGCCCACTTAAAAGATGAGTATAAAACAAGAATTATAACATTCTAGATCCTCCTCCCACGAAGTAATGCCTAACGGCGGTTTCCGTGGAGACCAGAGGCAAGGGCAAAGCGGAGGTTTTAGTCGGTATTATACCAGAGCGGTATTGAGTCCGACATACCCAGACAAAAGACCAGTCTGGGATGCATAAAAGCATTTACTTGGCTATACAAAAAAAAACACACACACATCCATTTTTTCTGATTTGAGGTATGCCAAAATGTTCAGAAACCTTCAAAACGTCGAGAAATGTAAAAAATTTCAATTTCGATTTTCGACCCATTACAATAACTTACCCTACGGGAAGTTAATAATATTCTTGCAAACAATATACTGAACTTACTGAAATTTTTGAATGTCCTAAGAAGTTTGAATAGAAAATAAGAAATTAAAAATAGTTCGGTTCAACAAAACAGACACGACAATTTGATTATGAGCAACGCGAATCGCATCGGTCTTCTAAATAAATTTAAAATCAATGTACTTCATGTATATCTAATTTTTGGTGTACTCAATCTAGAATTATTATAAAGTATTAAAAAAAAACGTCAGGACCCCAGGACCGGCCCTGTATATACATATATATTAACAAATTAAACTTTGGTTGGAGCATAGATAAAAGAAGAGTATCGGTTGCAGTGCGGTCTATATTAAAAAGTTAATATTAAAACTTAAAACTTTCAACAAAAAAATTTTAGAAGTATTTGAACCCCTGGGAGCAAAAAAAATCGAAAATATCCATATTAAAGACCATACATTCCGAAACCCTTTTTTTTGGGTCAACGCACCGGACATCAGAATTCATTTCAGAGGTATGGTTTCTTCAGCGAAGTATCTTATTTTGATCCCTAGTATCCGAAAATCATATGTGCCTAAGTGACCTTTAAATCGACCCGCCCTAATATATATATATATATATATATATATATATATATATGATTTAGTAGTTAATTTTGATGTTGAAATATATGAGTGAGTTCTTGAGGGCGATACATTAAACAAAGAAAAGGCAAAGATTTATAAAATAATCTTTAATTCCAAACGTTTCGACATTCAATTTAATGTCATCATCAGTGGATATTACGTTGGTTGGTTACATCTAGAGAAGTGTACACAACACTAGAGATTGGCACTAACATTTATACAACTAACTCGTCAACACCACCATGCATTTTTTATGTATCATACATGCCTCGGTACTTGCAAAGTACAGAAGTCGTGGCAGAAATTACATAATTTTACTTACATTTTTGTTCAAATAAAACTTTCATTTTTCTGTTTACATCATACAAAAAATTATAAAAAATGCATGGTGGTGTTGACAAGTTAGTTATATAAATGTTAGTGCCAATCTCTAGTGTTGTGTACACTTCTCGAGAAGTGTACACAACACATCTAGATCTAGATGTAACCAACCAACGTAATATCCACTGATGATGACATTAAATTGAATGTCGAAACGTTTGGAATTAAAGATTATTTTATAAATCTTTGCCTTTTCTTTGTTTGATGTATCGCCCTCAAGAACTCACTCATATATATATATATATATATATATATATAGTATTATTATTATTATTATTATTATTATTATATTATCCATTACATTATTAATGTTAAAATCCGTAAGTTTGTTTGTCGACCGTCAAATGAACCTTTATAGTCCTTTCTCAACTCTTCACTTTAAATCTTTAATGCTGTTTAATTTTCTGTGTACCCGTGTTTGCTTGTGATACCTATCAACAGTAGTATTTAATTACTCAGTGTTATAATAGCCATTTTATTTACAGAATCTATTGCAAACCAAGTTGCTACTTTAAGTTTCCTATCGGATAAAATTCCATTGCCATCAATCTGCAATCAATTCCATACTGCCGATCAATATTATCGATTATTGATATTTGCGATTTTGCCGACGCAGTGTATGTCCGTACTTCTGGACCACTGCGGCGATATTGGTCTTGCTTCTCAGTTCAAGTTCTTCTAGATTGATGGCCGCAGCAGTAATGCCTCGTATTACGACATCTTTTGCAGGATAGTTTTTAGGAGTTTCGCGGTCGTCGCTACACCAATGCTTTGTTTATAATTTAGGTTAATATAAATAAACCTATTTTACTATGAAACAAAATTTGTATCTATTGTGTAACTTAACTTAAAGCTTGAAAATTGACTTGCATATCAGAATCAGAAAACGCGAAATTGTCGACTCATTCTTCAAATGCTGAAAGCCTATATATGATTTGTTCATTTTCTTCATTCTCAAAGAGTGCGAGTAAATTGCCAAAAAAACTAACAAAATAGTCTACTTACTTGGTGTGAATCCAGGGCTACATGTATTGGGTTTTTCACGACTTTTATGTTGATGTCGCCACCATTGTTGGTGCTTACTATTAGTCCCGCTGGTGCTCCAATTTTTACATCTGTAGCTGCTGGGG